TTCCTCTTCTTTGTTTTTATCTCCTTCCTCTTTTGTAGACCTTCTTTCAGCACATTCAGATCTTCCAGCCTACACCCCATCTTCCCCACAAATTCAGCTATCATGTCCTCTTTCACCGAATCCTCCACCCCTATCCTTCCTGCACTTTCCCCTCCAACTCTGCCCCCCACCCTTCCCTCCTCACCTCTGGTCCCACCCCTCTTCTCTCCTCTCCAACCATCCCCCTCTCCTGTTACCTGCCTCCAGCCATGTTCTCTCCCCACATTCCTCTCCCACTCTACCCTCTTTCCTTTCCTTCCTCTCCACTGACCCCTCCCCTCTTCCTCCTCCCCATCCCTCCTCCAAGTCAGAATTCCTTCAACTTCACTAAACACTCTTTCAATGATTTTCCACACTTTTTCGTTCCTATACAACCCACCTTCTAGCTTGGTTGCATATTCATGGGCTACAGTACATGGCATTGGGACGGAATTTGGAACCAAAGATACAAGAGACACATTAGTAGCACAAACTGAATTCACTTTGTTACCTAGGAATGATGGAAAGGTTGGAAAAGGACTGTTCCCAACCTCCCTCTCTTGTTCCAAAGGTTGGTAAACGTCTATCTCCCTGAGTTGGTTGGAAAGTACTTATGTCCTTTGGTCACTCTGGTGATCTCTCCTCTCTACCCCTAAATCACCCCTAGGAGGTGTGTTCCTTCTCTTCTTCAGGTTCTCCCGATTTGCCCCTTCTGTTGTACCTTGCACACTCTGGAGTCTTGGAGATGAATTAGTCTGGTTACAACCTTCACCCTGAAATAAGCTTGCAATATTCCACCCATCCATGTCACCTCCGACATAGCCACCTTCGTCGTTTACACTGCCCACGCTGGTACCATCATCTGAGCTTTCGTCCAAATCTTCATCTTCCTCACTGCATTGCACCCAGCCTTCATCCGCCTCTTCCCTCTCTTCTACTCTTTCCCTTGCATATCTTGGATTCGGCCTGTCTGAGGAGCGTTGCAGGGGGCTAACCTCCTCACAGTTCCGGCGGGGGACCCACTGAAAGTTCCCCTTCTCCAACTTCCGCTGATGCGAGCGTCCCCCATCCATTCTCGCCATTTGGGACRAAGATAGACCAAGTTCACTGTCTAGTAATGGTCTGTGTTGTGTCTCCTTACCCCGACCCACGCGACAACTTAAGTTATCACGTGGGTCATTCGAAAAAGACCTGTGTTCGGTATTAGGCCTGCCCGACCCGCCCACGTGACCACTTAAGTTGTCACGTGGGCCCTTAAATGAGTGGCCCGGTTCACTTTCCAACCCACCCACGTGACTTTTTAAGTTGTC